TGCATACTTAGTGAATCTCTCTGGATTATCAAGGAAGCTGCTGCTTTGTGTCTCCATATCTCACACTGATCAGATCATCAGACAGATAGAGGCTGTATTCTGCAGTGTTTGGGTCCAGAATGACAGGACTGAAGTGGACCTGGTCCTTCATCTTCTCCCAGACTCTGAAGGACAGGTTGCCCAGATGTTTGGCCACATATATCAGCGCTCCTGAGTCCAGCTGTGGATCTGTCAGTGAGCTCTGGACTCTGGCTCTGGTCTGAGTGGCTTTATAACTGCTGAGGAACGACACCTTGTCTTTCTGCAGGTCTTCTTCAACAGCAGAGATGCTGTCTGACAGAGAGGAGATCTGCTCCTCAATCATCTTTATCTCTCTGCTGATGGTCTTCCCCTTCTGCTCCTCTTCCTCCCTCAGAGCTGCCAGTCTGGACTCCTCTTCCTCTCTCAGGAACTGGTGGAGCTTGTTGAACTCTGCTCTGATCTTCCTCTCTGTGGACACCAGCTGCTTCTTGGAGAGTTCAATCACTTCATTGTATGTTTTCTTCACTTGTTGGTGTTTGTCCCACTTGTCCTGCAGAGACTTCAAGTCAGATCTCAGCTGGTCCTTCAGGTTCCTGACTGCTTGTTCTAGAGGAACCACCTTGTGACTCTGGTGGAGAGAGAACTCACAGACAGGACACACAGCTTTCTGCTCGTCCTCACAGAACAGCTTAGTCTCTTCTCCATGTTCACAACACACCACCTCCACCTTTGTCTCTCCTTTTTCTGTCTCAGTTGATCCAGTTTTCTGTCTCCCAGCAAACGAGTCGGCCAGTTCCTTTAGTTGGAAATTCACTAAAATATTATCTTTAGAGGATTTTCTTTTACAGATGGGACAGTTCTTGTTTCCAGCTTGTTCCCAGAATCGCTGCAGGCAGCTTGAACAGAAGCTGTGGTTGCAGCTCAGAGACACCGGATCTCTGAACGTCTCTGAACAAACATGGCAGCTCAGGTAACTTTCAAAAAGAACGATCTTTTCAGCCATTTTCTGACTTTTTCAAACAGTTCCTAAAAAAATAAAAACTCACCAAATTATATTTACAGTAATTTGTCTTTTCTCAGTCCAGGTGGAACATTATTCCTCAGAGATTTCTCAAGGTGTAACGTCGTCGTGTCTCCTTTCAACAATGTCAGAATCTGACTTCAAGTCCACCAACCTCCTTCACTGGTTAATCATTGATGGTAATAAATGCTGCTCTCTGTATGGAAGATCAGCAGAAGATGATACTCCTCAATCCCTCCCTCATAAACTGGAACAAGACTTTGAACCTCTGTGTTCTTCTCTGTTTCACTTTTTGACTGTTAAACCTCTGCTTGTTATCATCCTGTTATCTTTACAACTTTGTATCTGTACATGTATCTTGTGATATCAGAATCTCATATAAGTCATAAAGTGGAGCGGAACGGGAGCTTCGTGCCCTGGATGTGCATCCCACAAATCTCCATCAACTGCAAGATGCTGTCCTATCAATACGGGCCAACGTTTCTAAAGAATGCTTTCAGCACCTTGTTGAATCAATGCCACGTAGAATTAAGGCAGTTCTGAAGGCAAAAGGGGGTCAAACACAGTATTAGTATGGTGTTCCTAATAATCCTTTAGGTTTAGGTAATCCTTTTTAACATTTACGTTTGACTCACAAACCCCAATGTGCAGATGAAGAAACGGTAAATTATGTCCACCTACATGTTGCTCCATGAGCGTATATGAGAAGGTGCATTGATTTTAAATTGATAAAAGCTATCAGCCATCACACATCTGAAAAAGACGTAACGTGTCCATAAATACAGAAGTCTAACCGACTTCATGAATAAATACAAATAAATGTGTTATTGTGTTCTTTGGTTTTGCAGTAAGATTCCAAATTGGCCGTGAAGTTAAACCTTTTTTGTCTTAAAGTCAAAGACATGAAACAAATCAATATTACAAAGCCTCATTGTTGTGCCCCCCTTATTAATACTAACAATTAGATAATAATAAATTTTTAAACACACAATCTCTCTATTTACTACGTGTTTCTGTGTGCAAACAGCTGACCTGAGGAGCACTTCCCTGCAAACAAGGAGCAAGGATCATTGTTTAATTTTCTCCACACATCAGCGACGAGCGATGGAGGGATTCGTGTCCATTTGTGAAGACGGGTAAAACTCAGGGACGGGGTCTCATCCGCCGTCCCGCAGGTTATGTTCTCCTCTTCAACAGGTTGATCTGTTGGATGACTTCATTCCTCTGAAACCTTTAGTCAATCAAGTCCAGAACTGCTCCCTGGTGGTGGTGGAGGGGTAAGATCATATTTACAATACTGCCTGCTGATTGGTCTGGAACTTGCTCATTTTATTTCTTCTATATATTTCCAGTGAATGATGGAAATGATGCAAACTTATTTTCTCCACAGACCAGATTTGACATGTGCAATAGTAAGCCTCACGTGAGCAAGAAGTCCTCCAGCTTCTTCTCTCTCTAACTTCCTGCACGAGTCTCGCTGTCTGACGAAGGTTCTGTTTTATTAATGGTGCTTCTTCGTATTGGATCCCTGCTGAGTTAAAGAGCTCCTCGTCGTACTGCAAGACGATCTCGTCCGCCGTGATGCTTTGGGTCACGTCCCCGAACACCATCGGGGACGTGATGTCCTTAAAACCTTCACTTATCTTCTGAGGTTTCCGGCACGCAGCAAAAAGATGGATTTAGATTGGGGTTGTGTTAGATATACATATATATACATACATATACATAGTCCATCCATCC